TTCAACAGCTTTCTTGTGCTGAATTTTTATTAAAGGGCTGTGAAATTCTGTGGTTCTTAACAGAATGGTTCACAATTCCTCACTTAGCATTTTGGGTTTTGTGCTGTTGAACTGTAGTGTCATGAAACAAGGATTTCACTGTTGAAATACATTGTACGGTACACATTAGGTTTGAATTCCTCTGAAAACTAAGTCCATGGAAGCTTTTAAAAGCATTTTTAAGGTTTAAAAAAGATTGCAATCACACTCATCAACAAAATGATTTCCATATACAATATACCCAAAGTTTTTACTCCATGCATTATTTGGTTTGTTTACCTGTTTGTTCAAGGGTATCTTAGTTTTGCTGAACACCGCTTCAAGCAGGGACTAGTTTGGGGTCTTTTAAGCCCATTTTTTGGTCATATAGATCTACTTAAGCTTCTCTTGTTGTCACCCACTGCCGAAGGAAAAAAGCAAGAATGTCTTTGTCAGTGTGTTTCTGTAGTTTTAGCTAAATATCTAATGAACCACTGAGCAGATTTTAATGAAACTCTCAGAAAGTAATCATTTAATGTACATCTACAACTGATAAATGTTTGGAATTAACCCAGTTCAAGGTGACCACCACAGCTGACAGACCTCAGAAAACACACAAAAAAACGCTATGACAGCCATTTTTGAGATACAGAGCTTAAATCTAGTGCAGTATTTGAGCAATGTCTTCTAGATATACTATGTGTTCAACATATTTACCCACCACTGCACCCTGTATTCACTGGTTAACTGGACATCATTAACTTCACACAGACTCTCTCACTGGTACCTTTTCATCTTTAAATCACAACTTGGTCTGCTGCCCTCATACATTTCCTCTTACTTTTCTTTGTGTGAATTCAGCTACAGCGTGCGCTCTCAGGACATTATTACCTGCAGTGTTCCTCAGTGCAGACTGAACTTGGCAAAAGGGCCTTCTCCTACTCTGCTCCTGTTTCCTGGAATATCTTGCAAAAAGATCTGAAGCTCTCGACCTTGACCTCTCTAAGTGGCTTTAAGAATCTGTTGGACTCCTGGCAAGGACCAATGCAGACATAGTCCTGTTTTTAGTTTTCTACATTCGCCTTATAATCTAGCTGTTTTTGCTAATTTTTTTGCCATCTTATTTTAATTTGTAAAAAATGAAAATTTAAAAAATAATCTGTATGCCTTTTTATAATTGTCTATTGTCGCTGTTGTCCATTGTTGTCATCATTCTTTGTTGAAATCAGGTTTCTGTTGTAAATGAGTCCTCGAGGCCCAATGGGATTAACCTGTCTAAATAAAGGTTGAATTAATGAAAAATATTAGCTTAAAAGCTTGGCATTAACAGTTGGAGTCAACCCTGTTTGTCAGCTAAGATGATTTTAGTCTAAAACTATGGCATGAAAGGTTGTGGGCAACATGCATTCCTTCAGTGCTAAGCCTTATAATATAAAATGATTTATACTTTATGTATGCATTATGAATGAGAACAATATCCCAGGCTGAAGCAGGTAAAATAAACTCAAGTCAAGATTAACAAGTTAAGTTACTTGTAGATTTAGTAAGATGGCTGGGCTCAGCGTTAGAGATAACGTGAGGAGCTCCATCATTCAGGGTGAGCAAGTGGTTCAGGCATTTCATCAGGATGCCTCCTGGACACCTCAATTTGGTAGATTTCTGGGCACATACTACTAGTAGCAGACTCTGGAACAGATCCAAAACTGACTGGAAAGATGATACATATATTCTCCCTGATCAGTGAGTGCCTTGAGATCCCCCAGGAGGAGTTGAAGTGTATTGCTTGGGAGAGGAATGTCTGGTTTTCTCTTTAAATAAAAATATATTAATATAAAGCTACTTCCTCTTCAAAATTATCTGAAATAGTAGATGGATGGATTAATATTTATAGCAGGTACAAATGCTGTTATTTAGATATTAATTATTTATTTAATGAACTTTTTTTGGTTTTAAAAGCCAAACCTGTTTCTGGAATTTATAAAATGCTGCAATACATATGCTCTAAAGCCCACTTATTAAATTTTTTAACACCCCCATAGCTCAAAGAAAACCCTTACAAATTATCCACACAAATGTGCAGCCCAGTTGGGAATAATGTGCTTCAACTTTTGGTAGTCGTGCTTTGTGTGATGTAGACAAAATTAGCAAAAACCTATAAAAGATTTCTTCATAGACAGCACTGGGATTTTGGAGAAACATGAGACAACCTAGCCCTGTGTGGAGTTTGACAGGTCGGACATACTTCACAGTAGAAATATCTATCAAATCTTAAACAAATTACATAAAGTTGAACTTGAACTTGATGGAAAGTTACATGTGCATGCATTGGTTTTCTGATTGGTAACTCTAAATTGTCTCTAGAAGTGAGGGAGAGAGTGAATGGTTGTTTGTCTAGTTTGTGTCTATGTGTCCCTATGATGGATGTGGACCTGTCCATGTAATATCCAGAGATAATGGATGGGTGGAATTTTGGAAACATTTCCACATAATTTTTAACAGACTGTTGTTGAAGTCACACTCTTACTTTTGAACTTCCTAAAAATTTGCAAAACTTTTCAACAAATTTGCTTTACTCACACAGATTTTTATTGGTAAACGTGCAAATTATACATCAAACCATTGAAAATGTTGTCATCCTTCAACCACTGCATCTCTAACTGCTATGATACATACAATTTATTTTCAAATACCTTCAGAATACAGTGAACACCTACACAGGCTTCCATACATATATTTATTTAGCTCAAAACTATCTTCCAAACTGTAACTGAGAAAGCTTTTTAACTTGTCATATCTCCTACATAAGACATTGCAGCCATATAAAAACTCACATGTGACTTGTGACACAGCTGCTCACAGTGAATGAATATTTTTAGATTCAACTTATGGTTTTCACACAGCAACTGTTTAAACTTTCTATTTTTTTCACTTTCTCTACTTTTCTTATGAAGTTTGTTGTCAGGTAGCAACAGACACAGGTGTGGGGTTGCCATGGTGACCATAACATTTTCACCACCATTTGCTGATGACATTCAGGGACATCTATACATATTCACGAGCATTAGTGAAATCTAATGTCCACTAATGCTTTGATAAAATGAGCGTTAAAATGCTCTACTGTTTGAAAATGTGCGGCATAGTGGCGCAATTGGTAGAGCTGCCTCCTTTCAGTGAGAATGCTCCCATATCGAATCCTGGCTGGTGGCCTTTCTGGGAAGAGTTTGCATGTTCTCTCTGAGCAAGCATGGATTTTCTCCAGGTACTCTGATTTCCCCACACAGACCAAAAACATGCATGTTAGGCTAACTGGTAACTAAATTGTCTCTAGGTGTGAGTGAGTGAGTGAATGGTTGTTTGTCTCACTTGTCCCTATGTGGTCCTGAGATGACTTGCATCCTGTACCTGGTGTTCCCCACCTTTTGCACAGTGATGTTGGGTATGGCACCAGTGACCCAGGGACTCTAAAAGGAAGAAGCAAGCAAAAGATTATGAATGGATGGGTGTTTGAAAATATGTCTTCTTTTCCTCCAGAAACACTATTGCCTCTTTTCCATTAGTAACGGTACAGCATGGTTCGACTCGATTTGGCACAGTTCCAAGACTTTTCTACTATTAACAGTTCGGGGAACTGGTCCCTTTTTTCAATACCCATTTCTATGGGATTCCAAGTGGGCCAAAAGGCACCAAAACATGATGTCAGAACACTGTCGGTCACTGATTGGTCAAGGGGTGGGGTCACTGGCGGTTTGAGAAATTTTCACAAGATCCGCCATTTGCAATAACTTAAACTTGAGGAGTGACTGGACCCATTTTAAAGATTTTAAAACAATTATGACAACACTATAGTCTAATGATGAAGTGCAGGTGTTTTTTGTGCTTGGTGGCCGATGACAAAATTCAGAGCGAGCTCTGCCAGTCTCTGACTCTCCCTGGTCCTCTCCACTGGAGCCTTGGAGCCCCTTCAGGCTGTGCAAGGCATCATCTCCCCGACTCCAAGCTCCGCCGGTCACCACCGGAAGATCCTCCATGCTGCCGACCTGCAAGAACAAGCAAGGCCAGGGTTCTGGTTCTGGGCCCTGGCCTCATGTGGTTTGCGGACCCCGAGCTCCGCTGGTCAATACGGAGGATTATATGAGCTGCTGACCCACAGAGGCACACGAGGCCAAGGCTCGATCCTCACATTCTCATGAAGGCTGTAACCAGGACAGGTCTGGGACCAAAGGTGGAAACGATTTTTAAAAACATTTTATGTATAATTATTTTAATTTTTTTAATCAGTGAAGATTAAAAAAATAATAGATTGTGCCGACTTTATCATGAAATCCTGTTTTCACTTTATTGTCTTCATTAAATCTGTTAACTCAAGTTAACTCAGTTAAAAAAATCATTAAAAGACACAAAATTATTGGATCTCAGGAATATTTCCCAAAAATATGTTTAAAGAAGAGATATAGTCTTTAGTTCAACTTTATTCTAACCCACAGATGTACAAATCACAAAACATGATTTAAACTTTAAAACAAAGCCCAAATTAAAAAAATAATCTGTATCAAAGAAATACAAGTTACACATCTAAACTGAACACTAAATGTAGACACGAGTTAAAATACATCAAATGATGAAGAAAACCTATAAAATTTTAAATATAGATGTTTTTGTAGAACCTGGTTCATCAGAGATTTAACGGTGAACAAAGTTCATTAAAAGTTCATTAGCAGGATATATATACTGTATATATATATATACATACACATATACATATATACATACAAACATATATACATACACATATATCCATCCATCCATTATCTTTACCTGCTTATTCCATTTTGGGTCATGGGGTTGCCGGTGCCCATGTCCAGCAATCACTGTGCGAGGGGCGAGGTCCACCCTGGATGGGTCGCAAGTCCATCACAGGGACACATAGAGACAAACGAGACAAACAACCATTCACTCTTTCACTCACACCTAGGGACAATTTAGAGCTACCAATCAGCCTAACATGTATGTTTTTGGTCTGTGGGAGGAAACCGGAGTACCAGGAGAAAACCCACGCATGCACGGAGAGAACATGTAAACTCCACCCAGAAAGGCCCCGGACCAGGGATTGAACCAAGGACCTGATCGCTGAGAGGCAGCGACTCTACCAGTTGCGCCACCGTGCTGCCCACATATCTATCTATCTATCTATCCATCCATCCATCCATCCATCTATATATATATATATCTATATATCTATATATATATATATATCTATATCTATCTATCAATCTATCTATCTATCTATCTATCTATCTATCTATCTATCTATCTATCTATCTATCTATCTATCTATCTATACATATATATATATACACATCTGTATATATATATATATGTATATATATATACATCTATATATATACACACACATCTACATATATATATATACATACATACATATATATACATATATATATAT